TGCCTGTAGTCCCAGCTACTTGGGAGGCTGAGGCAAGAGAATCACCTAAGCCCAGGAGTTGAAGGTTGCTGTGAGCTGTGACACTCTACCAAGGGCTACAGAGTGAGACACTGTCTCAAAAAAACAAGAAAAGTGACACAGTGAAGGCAAAACTGGTACTAGAACTCATGGCTCCAATCTTCTCATTCCAGTGAGTTCTGCTGGTGCCTCACCTGCTTCTCAACAGATGCTGTGGTTGCATGTACCCAGCCTTGCCAGAATGGTTTAGACAATTAACCAATGGTTTGGTTGCCACGTAGAAAGCCAACTGACAGGAGAGATGGAGCAAACAGTTGCTATTTTAGGGGTTGTTTTTCTTTCAGTTATAACTGGCTCTTCGTGGTTAGGCAGGCTGGCACAGGCTGGGTGGAGGATCACAAACCCCACAGTTGTGTTGCTCTTACATTTCTGACTGACTGTGTAACCAGGCTGAACAAGGCACTGTCTTTCTCTGGATCACAGGTTGCTTCCATGCAAGAGATTGGAATAATTCCTACTTTTAGGCAGTTTTATAGGACTCTGGGGGAGGATTAGGAAGTCTATAAAGAACCTAGGAAAAATTGGTATATAAATAGCAATTTGGGGAGTTTTTTTTTTTTTCTTCTTTTTTATTTTGAGACAGAGTCTCATGCTGTCACCCTGGATAGAGTAATGTGGCATCATAGCTCATAGCAACCTTAAACTCCTGGGCTCAAGAGATCCTCTTGCCTCAGCCTCCTGAGTAGCTAGGACTATAGGCACTTGCCATAACACCTGGCTAGTTTTTCTATTTTTCATAGAGACAGGGTCTCACTCCTGCTCAGGCTGGCCTCAAACTCCTGAGCTCAGGTGATCTACTCTTTTTGGCCTACAAATGTGACACATGTAACCACCACCTAAAATACATTTATAGCACCCTGGCAGTCTTGATGGTTTTCATAGCAGATTAGGACTAGAGAAGAGGGCCGTATTTATTTATTCTGGCCCCTTTTACTTTTGTATTATTTATTCATTTATTTTAGAGACAGAGTCTCACTTTGTTGCCCTGGGTAGAGTGATGTGGCGTCACAACTCACAGCAACTTCCAGAATCGCCTCGGGCTTAGGCGATTCTGTTTCCTCAGCCTCTAGAGTAGCTGGGACTACAGGCGCCCTCCACAATGCCTGACTATTTTTTGTTGCAGGTTAGCTGGGGTCAGGTTTGAACCCACCACTCTAAGTATATGGGGTCGGCGCCCTACTCACTGAGCCACAGGCGCTGCCCTGGATCCTTTTACTTTCTTTTTTTTTTTTTAAAGAACATCTTAAATTTTTAATCCTTTCTTTACAGGTTACCTAGACCATTTTTGATTAAGAAAACTGTAGAAAGTTAGTAACTGCCACAAGCGAACGCCAGGCGGTGGCCCATGTCAATTTTCCACAGAGTCCTGTTTTGCCGGGTATCTGAATGCACTGCTCAGGGTCTCTGCTCACACTTACTGGAATCAATCGTGGCAGATTCTAGTCCACAGGTCGCTTTTTCCCATATTTCTTTGTAGACTCTTCAGCATTCTTACAGAATTTTTTACGGTCCTTAGAGTATTCTTCAGCTAGGTCAGCCTGTAGCAGGTGCTCAGGCTGGGGGTCGTTCACCAGTGCTATGAGGGACTGGATTACTTGGTCGGTTTTGGTTGCTGGCTTCCAGTTTTCAGCACTCATTACTGGCAGACAGACCTGCCCCTTTTCATCGATGTTTGGGTGATAGATCTTTGTTTTAAATGTGATCTTCGGTGGCTTGAGTGGGTACTCTTTTGGAAAGTTGATTTCGATTCTGAAGGCCCCCTTATCATATGGAGGGTTGTCAGGAACAATAAGCCCTTGCCAAGTCAATAAATTAGCTTCATCAACCTGGATGTTATGGAAGTTTTTCATTCCACATTTGTGGATTTCTTCAAGCTCCTTCATCAGCCTCCTGCTGGCCGCCATCTTGGATCTCTACTTTTTTTTTTTTAGTTTCCATACATAGAATTGATCTGATCCCTTTTCAGAATCTCAGAGGCCATTCATTCTACTGTTACTCATTTAACATGTTTCCCAGGCATCTTTTATTAGAGGGCCCTATGCTAGATATTGCTGGGAGTACAGAGATGAAGAATTATTGGCCTCTGTCTCACGGCTCTGACTCATAGCTCACCAGGAATTATGATTAGAATCCAAGGGAGAAAGTGAGAAGGAATTGGGAGGAGAGGGTATGTGTATTTATGTAGGTTAGAATTTTTCCCAGTCCTCTCAATGTTAAAAACACAGGGAGAAGTCCAGATTCAGCCCTTTCTCGACCAGTTCTTTGCATTCTCAGACTGTGTTGGGGACTTGAAGAGGTGCAGACCCAGCTGAAAATCAGTGTCTTTGGTGGTTTCTTAGCTTTACTTTTCCCTTGGGAAGCAGGAGTGAACTTGGGCAATATTGAAGAAAACAGAAAGAGACACTTGTCTCTCCTCCTTTTGCCCCTAAGCTCTAAGGATTTGACTTCCTTTCTGTCTTGGATCTTAAATCTATAAGACCACAAATCTACTTTACAACTTTTGTATTAGCCTAGGTGGAGTTGAAACACATTCTTCTTAGTAAGGTATCACAAGAATGGAAAAGCAAGTATCCAATGTGTTCAATACCGATGTGAAACCAGTAGACAATCTAAAACATGCCCACATAAGAAAAAAACTCACTTCAATTCAAGTTGGGGGAAGGAGGAAGGAAGGAGCCAGATTGGCATGCTCCCACTTAATGGGTACAATGTAAGGGTATACAGCATACCTCTTGGATGCAGGACACAACTACAATAGGCATTCTACCTAACAAATGCACACATTGTTACCTAACTGTACCCTCACATTGAAATTTAAAAAAAAAAAAGACCACAAATCTTTTGCGAATTAATTTTGGTCTGAATTTATCTGCTCCCTTTGGTCAAGTAGTTTAAAACATCGAGTTTTGGGGCGGTGCCTGTGGCTCAAAGGAGTGGGGTACCAGCCCCATATGCCGGAGATGGCAGGTTGGCAGGTTCAAACCTAGCCCCGGCCAAAAACTGCAAAACAAACAAACAAACAAAAAAACATCAAATTTCCAATTTCTTAAGTTAAAACAGACTCAGAGTGGACTTTTCTGATCCTTTCCATGTATGAGAAGCAAGTTTTTATTTTATTTTAATTGCTAATATAGGCACATATGGCTCTGTGGTTGGTAGGAGGGATGAAGGCCAAATCCAGAGTAGATGCATGGTGATCCTTTTCTTTAAAGAAAGTCTCTGGAGGTAGTTAAGAGACTACCCCGCTAAGGCAGAGTCAGTCTGAAGACATAACACTCTAGGACATCTAAATATTACAGAGTCATATCTTAGTACATGTGTAGAAAGTAGATAGGAGAGGTTGAAGGGCGGATGATTCAGCTTGGCTGAACCTTCCTTAAGCTCTTATGAATTACTGGATCTTGAAAATACTAAAGGACTTGACAAGTCATCTGGGTCCATTCCCCTATTCCTATTTTATAGATGAAGAAACTTAAGACTTTGATTTGACCAGAATTACCTGGCAGCACAACTGTAACAAGAGCCAGATCTCCTGTCTGGTGGAGTGTGAATATAGGTCCTAGAGGAGTGGACTGCTCAGCAGGGTTTGGAAGGAAGAGGGTGGGGTTAAGGCCTGGAATGGTGGCTCACACCTGTAATTCTAGCTCTCTGGGAGGCAGAGGTGAGTGGATCTCCTGAGACCAGCCTCAGCAAGAGGGAGACCGCTGCCTGTAAAAATAGCCAGGCGTTTTGGTGGAGGCCTGTAGTCCCAGTTACTTGGCAGGGTGAGGCAAGGGGATCACTTGACCCTAAGAGTTTGAGGTTGCTGTGAGCTATGATGCTATGGCACTCCACTGAGGGTGACAAAGTGAGACTCTGTCTCAAAAAAAAAAAAAAAAAAAAAAAAGAAGGTGGGGTTGAGGGGAAGATAGATGGAGTGGCATTTAATGATTCCTCCCATCACTTGAAGCCAGGAAGGGCAAGGTACAGAAAAGAGGGAGGAAGAGGTAAGAGTGGGAAGACAATAAGGTTGTCAGTTGTCTAGGGGGAAGGCCCCGGAATGCCTTTAGCTTGGGCTGCCATAACAAAATACTAGAGACTGGGTGATATAAACGGCAGAAATTTACTTTCTCACAGTTCTGGAGACTTGAAGTCCAAGATCAAGGCTCTGGGTGATTTGGTTTCTGGTGAAGGTTTGATTTCTGGCTTTCAGATGGCTGCCTTCTCTGTCCTCACATGGCCTTACCTTGGAGTGTGTGTTTCTTGTGGGGAGTAGGTGGAGAGAAAGGGAGATCTCTTCTTTTATAAGGCTACCACTCCTATCAGATTAGAGCCCCACCTCTGTGATCTCATCTAGCCTTAATTACCTCCAAAAGGCCACCTCTCCAACTATAGTGGCATTTGAGGGTCAGAGGTTCAGCATATGATTTCTGGGAGTGGGGGCGCAGTTCAGTCCATAGCACTCCTTTTTTCTGATCAGCTACTTTAGAACCCTTGAGGTGTTGTTTTCCTTGGTAGAAAGGATGTTTTCTGACATTCCTTTCTTTACATTCTTTTCTAAACAATTAGATTATAACTTAGCACTGTTGTGAATTGTTTGAGGGAACAGAGATTATTTTCTTTCAATGTTTCAGTTTCTGGGAAAACCAGATAAGAAACTCATGTTCCAATTTGTTTTTGGTTTTTAATTGTGGTAAAATATATATATAACATAAAACTTCCCATTTTTACCATCTTTAGGTGTGTAGTTCTGTGGCATTAAGTACATTCACATTGTTACGCCTGATGGATTTTTATTCTTAAGTAAAACAGTTCTTCAGTGTGGTGTCTGCCATTAAGAGTAGCTATTTGACCTCTCTCAGCCTGTGTCTTCATCTGTAAAATGAGACATAAAAATATAAGGGCTTTGGAGTCAGACAAACCGGGTTTGAATTCAGGCTTCCTTACTTGCTAACTGTAGTCTTTTAGTTGCAGGTGGCAGAATGCCAGCTTATACCATTTACGTTGCAGAAAAGGGATTTATTGACTCACATGACTGTGGGAAAGGGCAGAGTGGAGCTGGTCTTTTTTTAAGCCAATTGACTTCCTTTTTACTGACTTAACCCTGAATCTGGGCCATAGCTGCACGCCTCTCTCTGGCTTATAGCTTTATTTTTTTTAAAGAGGCTAGAGTGTGGGCTCTCTATGGCCTAGAACTCCTGGGCTCAAGCAATCCTCTGAGCCTTCCAAGTAACTGGGACTACAGATGTGTACCACTACACCTGGCTAACTCTTTTGTAGAGATAAGGTATTGCTATGTTTTTAGGGTAGTCTTGAGCTATTAGCCTTAAACAATCCCTTCTGTCTTGGCCTCCCAAAGTGCTGAGATTACAGGCTGAGCCACCACTCCCAGCTGGTTTATAGCTTTGGTTCCTATGGGAAAGTCTCCACCTCCCTCCTCCATTTGTCTCCTAGCTCTCTTAGAAATATCCCAGAAAAGGATTCTGATTAGTTGTGGGGGTTATGTGCTCATGAATAGACCAGTTGCCATAATTTAGGGGGGAGGAAGGTATCTTGTGGTATCTCAGCTTGGATTATTTCTCCACCCGCCCTATGGCCCTAGGAAGGCAGGGCCTATTTGCAAAGCCTTGAGGATTAAGGGGGTTGCTTCTTAGTAATATAGTTGCATCTTTGCTTTTCTCCTTATCTCTGTTAAGAGTATCCTGCTCTTTGGGCAGCACCTGTGGTTCAGTGAGTAGGGCCTCCTATATACCCAGGGTGGCGGGTTTGAACCTGGCCCTAGCCAAACTGCAATAAAAAGTAGCTGGGCGTTGTGGTGGGTGCCTGTAGTCCCAGCTACTCAGAAGGCTGAGGTAAGAGAATCACCTAAGCCCAAGAGTTGGAGGTTGCTGTGACCTGTAATGCCACGGCACTCTACCGAGGGCAATAAGATGAGACTCTGTTTTTTTTTTTTTTTAAAAAGAGTATCCTGTTCCTGGGCGCCCATAGCTTAGTGGTTAGGGCTCTGGCCACAAACTCTGGGGCTGTGGGTTCATATCCAGTCTGGGCCTGCTAAACAAAACAAAACAAAACAAAAAAGAGTATCCTGCTCCTGCTCATGTGTTCTTTCCCAGCTCTAGCAAGGCTTACAGGGAAGGCAGGTGACATGAGTTCTCATCCTAGGCCTACCCCTCCAACATGCTTTCCTTCAGCACTGAGTACCTCCTCTGTGCTTATACAGCTCTCTGGGCCTTAGTTTCCTTTGTCTGTGCAGGGTTGGATTTACTTTCCTGATGAAATGAGGGGGATAGTTTCCCTGCTTCCAGAAGCTCACATTCTAGTTAAATGGCATGAAGTATGAAAAGAGAGATGCAGTAGGGTTCCAGGGCTCTGAGATTCTGTACCCCAGTTGTGTTTTGTTTTCTTTGTTTTTTAGAGTCTCACTTTGTCATCCTTGGTAGAGTGCTGTGGCGTCACAGCTCACAGCAACCTAACTCCTGGGCTTAATTCTCTTGCCTCAGCCTCCCAAGTAGCTGGGACTACAAGTGCCTGCCGCAATAGCTGGCTATGTTTTTTAGAGATGAGGTCTCCCTCTGGCTCAGGCTGGTATCAAACCTGTGAGCTCAGCCAATTCTCCTGTGTTAGCCTCCCAAGTGCTGGGATTACAGGTGTGAGCCACTGTGCCCGGCTTGTACCCCAGTTTGATGGATCACAGGAAGACTAATTTTTCCCAGGAGAGAGCCAGCTTCTGATGTCTCCTTTGTCCTCCGTTTCTTGCTGCTATTTTGGCAAGGAAGATGATTTGTCTCTGTAACCCCCTCATCATGTGTCTCTTGATTTGCAGAGGAGAAAAGGCTGATTTGCTTTTGCCTCTTACTTTACTCTTCTAACAAGTAGTCATGCTGGTAGTACTTTTCTGCTGGCATCCCACTCTCTCCCCACTTCTCCACAGACATCCCCAACCCCAGACCTCTGTTGTCATCTCAGTTGCCAGGGTGCTCTACTACTTGCTCAGGCAAGAAGGGGCTCTAGTTGTTGGCATGGATTCAGCTGGAAGCAGAGAATGAAAAGCTTTTTGGAAAAGAAAGTGCACCCTAGCCTGGGAACAGAAACCAGAGGCAGGCTGTTTCTCCTTTGTCTCAGCCAAGAACCTGGTCACTTCATATAAGCCTGACTAAGAGCATCCAGCCTGGGACCCGGCCAGTGGGGGAAGGAGTTCCTTCATTTCACTGGCAGGAACAGACCAAAGCTCCAGTGCCAGTCATAGTTGTTCAGCATGTTTGCTGCTGTAAGTAATTAACTGCCTTTCTATGTCTAGAGATGGGGAAGAAATTGACTGTTTTTTTGTTTGTTTTGATTGGGTAGTCACATAAATGGTACATAATTTTAAAAATGCCTTCCTCCCAGCCATTTCATGTCTTTCCCAGAGGTGACCTAAACAAGGCCCCACAATAGTCTTTGCAGTTACAAACATATACTGTACCTATATGTTCTCCTGACAAC